TCTGCCCTCCAAGCCCTTTTTTTTTTTTTTTTTTTTTTTTTTTTTGTTTTGAGACTAAGTCCCACTAAGTTTCCCAGGCTGGCCTCAAATTTGAAATCCTTCAGCCACAGCCTCCTGAGTGGCTAGAATTATAGGCATGCACCACCATGCCTCGCTACATGTGACTATTTAAAAATTATTATTAATTTTGTATTCTGAAACACTGTTGAGTTTAATTTTTTCTGATGGAATCCTGAAGATTTTTCTGTGTAAAACATCCTATCACCTGCAAGTGGTGATAATTTCTTCTCCAATTTGGATGCCTTTTATTTTATTTTCTTGTCCAATTGCTCTGGCTAGACCTTCCAGTACTATATCAAATAGAAGTAGTGAAAAATGGAAGTGGTGAAAACTTTGTCTTTTTATATTAGAGGAAGAACTTTCAGTCTTTTGCCATTGAATATGGTGTTAGCTTTGGGCTTTTTATATGTTACCTTTATACTTGTGAGACAGGTTCTTTTTTTTCAATTTTTATTTTTATTACTGCATGCTTGCAGTACATATGATTACATTCCTCATGGGTAGTTGGTACATGTACATAGAGGCAGGTTCTTTCTGTTTTTATTTATTTATTTATTGGAGACAGGGTCTCACTGTGTAGTTGAGACTGACCTGGAACTCACATGTAGCCCAGGCTGGTCTCATACTCACAGTGATCCTCCTGCCTCAGCCTTACAAGTGCTGGGATTACAGGCATGCGCCACCACATCCGGCTTGCTTTTAGTTGTTGAGACTTTTGGTTTTTTAATCATAAGAGGATGTTGAGTTTTGTCAGATGCTTTTTCTCTGTCAATTTAGGTGATTATGTGGTTCCCCCCTTCATTCTGCTACTATGGTGTGTTGTTTGAACTGATTTTGTATGCTGAATTATCCCCATACCCCAGAAACATTGTTTGAATTGTTCAAGAGTATTTTGTTGATGATTTTGTACCACTATTCATATGAGATTTTGGCCTGCAGTTTTCTTTTTATGTAGTGTCTTTGTTTGGCCTAGGTATCATGATAATGCTGGCCTTGTAAAATAAGTTTTACAGTGCTCCCTCCTCTTCAATTTTTGGAAGAGTTTTAGAAAGATTAGTATGAAGTCTAGGTATTTGGTAGAATTTACTAGTGAAGCTGTCTAGTCCTGAGATTTTCTTTGTTAGTAGGTTGTTGATTTGCTCTTTTTACTAGTTACACATGTAGTCAGTTTTTGTTCTTCCATCAGCAGTCTTGTTAGGTCATATGTTTCTAGGAATTCTACTCTTTTTATCTAGGCAACCAACCAACTTTGTTTTCTTAGTTCTGACTCATAATCCTTTGTATTTCTGTAAAATCAGTTGTAATATCTATTTATTTATAGATTGGGTTTTGTTATGTTGCCCAGGCTGGTGATTTTTTTTCTTTTGAGATAAGGTCTTGCTATGTATTCCAGGCTGGCCTTGAACTCAGTATGTAGCCCATGCTGACCCTGAATCCACAGTGAGCCTCTTGCTTCAGCCTTTCAAGTGCTGGGATTACAGGCTCGTGCCCATGCTGGCTCTGGAGCTTCCCACTGTGCCACAGTCCTTGACATCTGTTTGTACATTGTATTTTGATTTTCTAATTTAGTCCCCTGGTGGTAACTGTGTTTCCAAATTTGTGGAGAGAATTTCCATTTTGTTTCTATCCCCAGAACGTGTTATGCTTCCCAACCACATTAGAAGTCATTAGTTTGACATTTGCTGTCTGTGCTCAAGGGAGAGCTTAAACAAGAGCTGTCTCTTTCCTGCCCAGTCCTTTAACAGAAAAACCAAAATATCAGAAGCTGAGCACACATGGGGATATTACTTGTTCCTCTTCCATTTTTATTCACTTAGGTCAGTATTTTTCTTTGAGTCACCATTAAGTGTCAGTTCTTTTGATGGATGATGGGATATAGTGTTAAAATTAAGTCCTTGTTCTTTATTAGCTTAGAGCCGAGGGAAGGAGGAAACCAATACAAATTTCAGTACATATGAGGTCTGAAGGAGGTATAGACAGAAAGATACTACAGGGCAGCAGGGGGCATGCTCAAGTGAGTTTCAAGGAAACCAAAGGGAAAACCAAAACTTCCCAGGTGAAGGAAGTGGCACCTGCGAGCTGAACGACATCTTCCACAGGAGTGCTAGCAAGGGCAAGTTCTTGGAGAGCAGGATGAGGCCAAATGGAAGGACAGTGGAATTCAGCGCTGCTGTGGTGTCAGGTGCATGTGGGCAAGTGTGGAGGCCAGAAGACAGATCAGGAAGTGTAGTAATTAACGGTGTCAACTTCAATAAGGAATGCCCAAGTAGATTGGATCAGCATAGTTCTGGGTGTGAGTGACATCCACGAATAGGCTTGTAGCCTGAATGGCATACAATGAAGAAGGAAGGCTCATTTCTGTTGTTTAGAGGAGCTCCAGTTTTCACTTTCACCTAGGACCGTGTCTGTTGTCTTCTGGTGCAGGCCGTTCAGCTTCCATCACAGACCCTGTGGTCTCCCGATAGAGACTGGAACGGAACACTACAGTGGACTCCAGGCCTTCGACTGGATCCCTTGGATCTCCAGTGCATAGACAGCCTTTCTGCACTCTTCCACAGCTGACTCCGTGGGTGGCCATTTAAGTCAATCTTGTAAATTCTTGTATAGTTGTATATCTTGCATTAAACATGTTTCTCTAGTAAGCACTGACTGATCCACGTATATAAATGGGATTTCATTTTGTTGGTGATTTTAGGGTCATAGAATTGTTAGCAGTGGAGTGACACAATCAAATTTACATTTCAGAAAAGTGAATTTGGTGTGAAAGATGAAATAAGCTAACACAGTAACACTTAAGAGCTATTGAGGGTTTATTTCATATCTCAGTCCTTGCCCAAACTCATAGTACTGTACCACAATCATTCCCACTTCATAGATGAGGGATGGGCAGAGAGCTCAAGTACTTTGCCAAATGTTATATAGTTATGGAGTGGTGGACTCGAGATCCGAACCCAAGTTAACACCAGAGTTTGGATGCTTAGTCACAGGGACTTCCTGGGGGCTGCATGCAGCGAGCAAGTTAGCATTCTCATGAGATAAGCTCAGAAATGAATGATCAGCATCAGAATTAAGTTAGTGGTGGGCTGGAAGGGGGAGGACATGTTTGGGAATTTTGAGGAAACAAATGGACAGAACTTGATTGCTGGTGGGGAAATAAGGGAGTGAGCACCTGGAACAACTAACTGGTTCCTATTTTAATCTGTGTGTAGAAACACTCACTGAGCAAAAGCAAGACATGAGGGAATGAGACCATCAGATCAGTTTTGGAGGTGCTGAGTGAACCAGCCCAAGAGAGCCATCCAGAAACCAGTTATGCCTAGAGCTGAGAGCCAAGAACAGCAGTGAGGTGACTGGATCCATGGGTTATAAGGAAGAAGAGTAAAGTCAGGGCTCCCTCTCCCTTTCTCCCTTTAAAAACAGGTAAGCACAAGAAATATGAGCAAATCACCAAAATATCAGAGACCTCATGATCACTTACTCAATGAAGTAATAATAAATAAATACATGTCTAAAGATCATTTCTAGTTTTAGATGTCCAACTGCTGTCAAGGCCAGTGCCTCCACTCTTCTTTGAGGGGGCATTGGCAAAGCTAATTTGTTATTTGATAAAATAATTATCCATTTCTCTTTTAAGTGGGATCAGGCAGTTTTGCAATAATCACACGATGAAAAAATAAATTATTCACTTGCAGAATTTGTTGTTGTAGATGCAGAACATTTCCTTTGGGCTTAGAAAAATTGAAAATTGTTTTCTTTTGAGACAGGGCCTCACTATGTAGGCACAGCCTGGTCTCCAGCTCTCTACAGTCTGCCTGCCTCAGCCTCTTGAGTGTTGCAATTACAGGCTGGCTGAAAATTCTTTCAATCCGTTAAACAATCTTGTTTCAAGAAAGTCTCCAGTTCTCTGGCATTACAGTTAATTTGTAATTAATTATACACCCTTACAATGCTTTTGCATTAGTTTTCAGCCTTCACCTTCAGAGTATTGGTCCTAGGACAGCAGGGGCTGTCCTGTGATTTGTAATTCATCACTATACACTCAGTACCTAGCAGGGTTTTGGTTTTTCTTTTCTGTGCTAGAGCTCAAATCCCAGGACATGAATATGTTAGGCAAGTGCTATACCACCAAGTAACACCACTAGTTCCTGGCTGGAGGTTGAACCCAGGATCTTAGCACTGCTATATCCCAGCCCTTAAAAAAATTTTTTAGGCTGAGTCTTTTTTTTTTTTTTTTTAATTTTTTTGGCTGAGTTTTTTTTTTTTTTTTTTTTGGGTACTGGGGATCGAACTTGGGACCATGTAATTGTGAGGCAGGCAGCAGAACCACTGAGCTAAATCCCTGGTCCCGAGGCTGAATCTTGTTAAACCACAAAGTTGCCCAGGCTAGGTTCAAACTTGCAATCTTCCTGCCTTGCAAGCTTCCCAGAGTGCTGGGGTTACAGGCATGCACTACCACGCCCGGCCATTCCTTCCTATTATGTTCCGCTTCATTCCAACCTTTTCCAGTTCCTTTTGCTAGATGCTTAAAATAAGCGGGAATTCAGCTAGACTGGCATAAAAAGATGACCAACGCTCTATTCTTAATTTTAGTAGAAAAAACTTGATATGTGGACAGCACCTTACTTTCTGGAATGTCATCAAGAGGACAGGGGAGCACTGGTGGTTAAGGCCAGGGGTAGGAGAGTTTGAGACTGTGGTATAGTTTCATGTCTGTAGGGCCTCATACTTACGGCTCATTGTAGGAAGCAAGAGTCAGTGCCAGGGAGAAGGCCAAGGAGTGGAGGCTGAGGACACAGGAGCCCTGCTGACTTCTGACTTTATACCCCCAATCTTTATCCTTTGGACATCTGGGGAGAGAGTATTTTTGTGGCTAACAGGATTCACATGCATACATTTTGGTCTTGTTTTTTTCCTTGGTTGGGTTTCACTAGAAGGACAAAAACAAATGAGTTATGGGCCAGGGATTTAGCTCAGTGGTTCTGTCGCCTGCCTCATAAGTGTAAGGACCCAAGTTTGATCCCAGGTACCAAAAAAAAAAGTTATTTCATTATTTCTAAAACAGCAAGTTAAAGAAAACTTGTGTAGCCAGGCATAGTGGCACACACCTATGATCCCAGCACTCAGGAGGCTGAGTCAGGAGGACTGCCGTGAGTTTGGGGTCACCCAAGGCTATATAGTGACAAGACCAGCTTATACTACATAGTGAGACCTCACCTCAAAAAACCATGAAAAAAAGAAAATTTGTTTTTTAATCAACAAAATACTTTTATAATATTGGGCAAAAAGTTTTGCCACTTGTCAATCTCAAATATTAAACAATAAGAGAGAACTTTCCAACTTAGAAGATTAACATGTTTCATGGCCTTGTTATCCTTTAGCAACTGTAAGGGAGGGTTCTCGTCTCATTAATCAATTTTCTTTCTTTTTTTTTTTGGTACCGCAGGTTGAACTCCGGTCCTTGCATTTGCAAGGCAGGCCACTGAACCGCTGAGCTAAATCCCCGGCCCCTCATTAATCAATTTTCATAGTAAGCTCATGGATTATTTTATCCAACCTTCTATAATCTTGTTTTTTGTTTTGCAGTATTGGAGACTGAACCCAGGGCCATGTGCACGCTAGGTAAGTTCTCTACCACTGATGTATGTCCCGAGCCTTTTTAAGATTTTGACACAGGATATTGGTAAGCTATCCAGGCCTGTCTCAAACTTGTGATCCTCCTTGTCTCAGCCTCTTGAGCTGCCAGGATCACAGGTGTGTACCATGTGCCTGACTAAATGGCATCTCAGTTCATGGACTCAATTCTCTCCATGATTCTGGCCACAAAACTGAACTGGACAAGAACTAAATAAAATTTCCTCATAAGGGCAACACTGAACCTAACCAATGAATTTGATCTGGTTCTTGACCAACTCAGTTTGTGATCAGAATTGCGGAGAGTCAAGTTTGTGAACTGAAGTACCACTGTACATTAGTTTGATGCTCCACCTGTACCAGCTCTGGCCAGGGAAGCCCCTTCTGGCTGGCTTTGTCTGCTTGATTCCCCAAGATTCCATGAGCTCTTTCTGAGTTTTAAGAACAAGATGTTTCACGCTCATCTTGGACTTTTGCTGCCAGAACCTTGGAATCATCTAGTTCTCTGTAGAGTGGCACTGATTTTTACATTTCTTTGAGAAGCACTTTTTAAATACTTTTTATTCACCATTATTTTTTAAATAGCAAAACATTTAAGGAATACATAACACTCATCATTGGGAATTTGCACCTGTACATGGTACATCCCACCCTTTTCCCCCATTACCCTCTCCATTCTGTACATGGTGTTGTACACTGTATTGAAATATAGCACAAATAAATTGACTTTCACTTTGATGACACAGTCATCCCATTTAGTAGTCAAATAAAAAAAATGGAAAACTGGTGAGGAATTTTCATCTTCAGGTTCCTTGATTCCATAAATGATAGTATTGTTTCACATTTCACAAAATCTTTCCAGCATTTTACTCCAACTTGGCCACCTCACTTCAGAAAATGTTGTTCCCATAATCAGCATCCTTTTTTTTTTAAATTTCAAAACATTTATTGTTGACTCATTAGTGAGACTACAGAACAAGATTCCTGATTAAGCACGGAAAATAAATATGTAACGCTTCACGAATTTGCGTGTCATCCTTGTGCAGGGGCCATGCTAATCTTCTCTGTGCCATCTCAATTTTAGTACATATGCTGTCAAAGTGAGCACGGCATCCTTACTCTTAAGGAACTCATGGAATTGGTGATTTGATCCCTAGGACCTCATGAAATCCACAGCTTTGATGATGATTTGCATGACATCTTTTCGTTTTTTTGAGACAGGGTCTCCCTACATAGTTCTGGCTAGTCTTGAATTCACTATTTGAACTCATGGGATTCTTCTGCCTCAGTCTCCTGAGTACTGGAATTATAGGTGTGCACCGTCACACCTAACTCCTACCATCCATTTTTAAAGTTTGAATTTCCTTGATGTATGATGCAGCACTATTTTATTAAATGTGACTTGCCAGCAACAATTGCATCATCTCTTATTAATTTCTAAGTACCTTTTTTTGATACAAGGTTAGACTCTGTAGTTCAGGCTGGCCTTGAATTCATTATGTAGACCAGGCTAGCCTCAAACTTGCAGTGATCCTCCTGCCTCTGCCTCCTGAGTGCTGGGATTACAGGCATGCACCACCACATCCAGTTTAAATTCCTCTTCTTTACCAATCATCAGAACACCACTATGGCTACACCAGATTCGGTAACAAAGTTTGAAAAAAGTCACTGTTATATTTGCTTCCTACTATTGAAGAGATTTAGCTGTCTTTTTTTGGTTACCGGGATCAAACTTGGGACCTTGCACTTGTGAGGCAGGTGGCAGCACCACTGAGCTAGCTAAATCCCAGCCCTTAGCTGTATTTTAATGGCATCAAAGAAACCATTTCTTCAGTGATACTATATTCATAATCTATAATACTGCTAATTAAAAATAGCAAGTTTAACCATATCTGTCACATCAGCACTTTCATCTGTTGCCAAAGAATAAAGTTTGAAATTAGCAGCTTCACTCTTAAATCTTTTTCCCCATTTCAATTCATCTGGTTATAGTCTGGTGAGACAAGCTGATTTAGAAAAATTAAGCAGGGTGCCTTATTTCTCTCAATAAAAAAAAAAAGCACTCATCCATTTTTTCACTGAAGACTCTTCCATTTTAATTTTTTTGGGTTGTTTTCTTTTGAGATGATGATGAAGCCATTCTGTGATTCAAGCATGCTGAGAGGCTGAAGCAGGAGCATCACAAGTTCAAGACCAGCCGGGGCAACTTAGCAAGACCCTGGCGCTCCGAGTGTTCAAGTCCCAGTGCGCCCCGCTGACCCCAAGGTCTCTGGTGGCTCCGAGTCTCTGGGTGACTGAAGCATTGGCAGTCCGTTTACCGCCACCATGGAAACAAAGGCGGGGTGTACAGAGCTGGACATCCGTCATCACTCGTCACTCGCGGCACTTCCGGCCAGGGCACCTTCCTCTGGACCACGTCATGGAACCGAGCTAAGCTGCACACATCTGGGGGTTAGGCCGTGAGGGTACCAAAGTGACACGCCCAGACTGGGACCTGGGATTGGTCAACAGGGAGTGGGGCGGGGCCGACAGCGAAGTGGGCGGGACAGTGATTCTCCTGCCTCAGCCTCCTGGCTAGGATTACAGGGCAATGTCAACACACCTGGCTCCAGCTTCTATTTCTGAAGGAATCAATCTGTGGGCCTTGTTTGTGTGTTACGGAAAATTATGCAACCGCCACAAATCCTCACTGCAGTATCTGCATGTAGTCTCTCACCATTTTTAATGCCTTTTATAATACTGTATTTACTTTAATGCTCATTAATTTCTAGTGCTACTTTAAACATACATTTCCTACAACCCAATATGTTCCATGAGACCCTGATCTTGCAATCAAAATTCTCATAAGTACACTGGATTTTGTTTTGTTTTTGTGGTGCTCAACATCAAACCCCGGGTCTGTAGTCTGCCAGTCAAGTGCTTTAGGCTACATACATGTCCAGCCTTGTGCTGGTTTTTAAGAACATAAACCAATAAGATTGGGAAGTGAAGAAAATATTTACCATTTTAAAAAGATGTAGTTATGTGTAAATACCGAATAGTTTCCCTGGTGTGAATAATCTGCAATAAAACATACGATCCTAATAAGATTACTGTCATTTAGAAATGAGAAGAAAGGAGCTAAAGGTGTAGGGAAGGTGGGATGGGCAGGGGAAGGGTAATAAGGGAAAAGAAAAAAAATGTGAGAGAATGAAAAGATGAAAATAAAGTGTTTGTAGATGGGGAGGGGAGGAGGGGGTGAAGGGAGGGCAGGGGTAAGGGGAAAAAATGAGAATCAAGACTTGTTATGTAGAGGTACAAGACCCCAACAATGAATGTAACTGTAATGTATCTCTAAAATGTACCAATAAACTCAATTAAAGCTGAAAAAAAAAGATGTAGTTAAAAACACACAAGTAATGTAAAAAGCACATGAATACTTTTTGTATCTATGCAAACTTTATTTTGATTTCATTACTGACATTTACATATTAAGACTATACAGCTAACTGAAATAAAACACAAGATTTATTAGATGTAATACCAAGGAAGAAATCTGAAATTAGTTTTTCATTTCATTTTTTCTACTAGGAAAACCACAACTTCTGGAATTGATACTGGCCTGTGAGTCAGGTGCTTTTTTTACTTTTCCAAATTTTAGTATAGGTGCTGCCAAAGCAAGCACTAATTTTCCAGAAAGCAAATCATGCTCTTCTAAGGATTCAGCCAACAACAAGTTGCCTTACCAAAGCATAAAATGTTACTTAGAATTTAGGCCTTCTGAAAGAATCCAATGTGTGTTTTTGTAACATGGTATTGTAGTTCCTTTTCTTCTTTTTTTTTTTTTGGATACTAGGATAGAACTCAGGACCTTGTGCTTGTGAGGCTGGTGGTGGAACCACTGAGCTAAATCCCCGGCCCAGTAGTTCCTTTTCTTTCCACTAAATTTTTTAATGAAAACGTATCACGAAATCATTGAATCAGAAAGCAGGTACATAGCATTTTTATATTACAAAGGAAATCAATGAGGACTTCAGAAAAGTAGTTAATGGAAGCTATAGAAAAAACCTCTCAGATCCTGACATTTGGAACAACATAACTGCCATGTTATCTCTTTCTAAAAAAGGCCTTTCCCAGCTTTTTTCCAGACTTCTTTTACTCCTTTAATGCTTTCTTTTTTCACACATTTCCAGTATTCTTGTATACTCTGTTGTTGTGGTACCTGTGAATAAAAAGTAAAAATTAAGATTCATTTTCTTCATGGATAAAAATAATTACATATGTACATTATATTACAGTTCATTTCCTTTCCACATTCCTCCAAAGGAAAGCTGAAGGTAGATTATGGTGTAAAAGGTTTGCTAATGAAAATCATATTTGTTAGTTTCCCATAAGTTAAAGTTGCTGTAGGAATTCAACTTGCTTTCTAAATTGTCAGTTGAAGATCTCTGTCTTCAAGGACATGGACAGTACCCCGTCATTTCTTCTGACCTACCTGCCTGTATTCTCTTTGTATCCTTATTTTCCCAGTGCAAGATTTCTTTCATGAGAATGCTTCTAGCTGATTCAAATCTAAATAAAACTCTGACTTTGATGTGCCCCACAGATACAGACCAATATGTAAATTTGAGCAAATAAGAATAGCTAACATTTACTTTATGTATCTCAGCCACTATATACTTAATTCTCATAATTCTTTCTGGTAGATTTTATTAGGTTTTTTCACTAGACAGACGAAGAATCTGAGGCTCAAAAAGTTAAAAATCAAGTATCTTTGTAAGACTCAGCAGTTGATAAATAGTAGAGCTAGAGTTTGAATCTAGGGATATAACTACAAAGCCCAAAGTAAAATCCTAAGGTTTTAAAATAGTGATTTCATGTGTGTGTGAGTGTGTGTGTGTGTGTATGTGTGTGTATTTTTTTTTTTTTTTGGTACTGGGGATTGAACTCAGGACCTTGTGCTTGTGAGACAGGTGGTGGCACTGAGATAAATCCCTAGCCCAGATCTGTATTTTTAAAAAAAGCAAAATATTGCATCTCATTTTATGTAAAACATATTTCAGTATTTCAATGATTAATCTCTTTATAAACTTTTAAAATTTTTTAAGACTATTTCCTCAAGTTGTAGGTTTATCTATGCTTAATATTATTGTTAATAATATATACACATGCAGTTTTTAAAAAGCTCAAAATGTTACCCATAAACCTCGATGCATCCTGTTTTTTAACACCCCAAGAAACTCTTCATGGCTAAGGCATTCATCACCATCCAAATCAAAGATCTTGAAGACGGTGTCCAAAATATTGTTTGAAAGCTCTTGTCCTGTGGCTACCTTCACTGCTCTCTTAAACTCTGCTATAAAATAAAACAAACCATACCAACCAGGTGAAAAAGTCTGGGTGGAATTAATATAAATTTTCATTAGTTGAGAAGTAACAAATTCAAGTTTTTATTATTTGGGAAGTAAAACACAAAAATACTCATCACAAATGCATTCAAAGCATGAATTTGGTTCAGAAATATCACGAAAAGGAAAAAAAGGCATTAAAGTAACTGTTAGATATGTAAGCTGTTTTAATTAAAGCTTTAATTAGGCATTTCCTTTTCCTTTTTTGAAGATTAATAAAAGCAAATAGAGTGTTAAATAAGTTGTTGGTGTTACAAATTTAGAATAACTACACTGAATTCAAAGGCTATTTTATTGGTAAGTGGCTCTGTGGTTGGTACCATCCAAGTGAAGAATAGAGCAAAACAGCTTATTGAGGATAAAATTTAAATGATTTTTATATCTTACCTAGTCTGACAGGTCGATGAGCTAAGCTAAACATTTGCATGGCAATAGCAAAGTCTTCCAAGTGGGTCGTAAAATGGCAAAATGATTTGAACTCATCCAAACTAATGCTCTAATAAAAATAAAGAGGTTTTATTACAATTTTATAAATACATTAAGTAATCTTATGAATATAATGTAGTCTTATCATAAAGCATATGAACTTAGATCTAAGCAAGTCTATTAAAAAGTTCAAAATACAGACTAACAGAAATAAAAGGTTTTAGAGCTCAAGAGCAATCATGAGAGAAGAGTTGGCAGGGCCTCTGGATGGCTGTGGAGACTGGACACTATGTGTATGGGGTGTCGTGGAGTTGTACAGTGCAAACCCTGGGGTGGCCCTGAGCGATGGACTGAACAATGTCTCATACGGATTCACATCTTAAAGTCCTAATCCCCAGTGTGACTTTATCTGGAGATAGGACCTACATGGAGGTAATGAAGGTGAAATGAAGGCACACATTAGGGCCCTGATCTGAGACTAGTATCACAACAGGAAATGCTGTCAGAGCTTACTCAATGTCAGGCTCGCTCACTGTCCTGTGTGTGCACAAGGAAAGGCCATACAGGGTGCATGGAAAAGGTGCCCCATGCAAGCTGTAGAGGGGCCTTGCCAGAAGACGGCCTGCTGCACCCTGATTCTGGACGTCCAGCTTCTGTAACAATGAGCTATTGTTTGAGCTGCCCAGTGTGTGGTACACTGTTATGGCAGCCCAAGGAAAATAACATACTCTGTTTAATGGTCCACATTTACACAGCTTTATCAGTGGACACAGCACTGAGTAGGAGCACTGGGTTTTGGAGATGGACCTATGTTGAAATTTCAGTTTTGCTACTTACTGTCTATATGACATAAAGGGGTTATTTGACCAGGGTCTACTACACAGAATAATCAGGATTTGAACTTGGTTCAACTTACTTTAAAACCTATGTACTTAGAAACAAAAGCAAGGGCCATGGGTGTAGCTCAGTGGTAGAGTGCTTGCCTAGCATGTATAAAGCCGTTTCATTCCTAGTACTGCCAGACAAAATCCCCCAAAACAAAAGTTAAAAGACTAGCTTTTCCATTAAAACCTAAAATCAATATGAAAATTCTTAATTTGGAAGTAAATCTTTCCTTGCTTAAAAAAAGTATCCTCCTAGGAACCTTATGATCATGCAGTTTGTACATATGGGGTCCTATTCAGATTTTACTGCTTTTAGCTTTCATGAATTTATGGAATTTTTATTTAAAAAAATTTTTAATACAAATTTTTGGGGCTTATTAAGGATTGAACACTTGGCACTGAGCTACATCACCAGCCCTTTTTTATTTTGAGGCAGAGTTTCACTAAGAGCTTGTGATCTTTCTACCTCAGCCTCCCAGTGTGCCTGGGTTACAGGTGTGTGTCACCATGCCTGGCTGAAAATTTTAATTAAATATTTGAAGAAGTACTATGTGCATGTGATAAAAATTCAAAGAGAACAAAGGATAAAGAAAAACCTTCCTCTTTTGGTCCCCAGTTAATTTCCCAGAGGTAAAGCAATGATGCCCTTAGTATACTTCTAGAAATACTGTACTCATATAAAAGCTTGTGCACACACACACACACACACACACTCCACACTTTCTCTCATGATCTTACAGTGAGAACCCCTTTGCCACCCACCTCTACAGATGGCTTTTTTTAAAAATAACATATTCATCAGCACAGTTAACTGAGGAGCCGTTTCTCTGCATCAGACGTGAAAGCAGGCACTAGGTGTAACCTGTCTGATGTTTGCTCTGTTGACAGGTGAAGGTTGGTACGTTATCAGTGTTTGGATTTGTATGTCTTTGTGAATGAAGTTCAGTACTTTTCACACGCTTATTAGTCATCTGTGCTTTCTCTTCTTGCATCATCTTTATGTCCTTCCTCCAGATTTCTAATGGCTTTTAGGTGACCTCTTACTGCAGGGGGCGATTCTTCACGGCTGTCATGTTTCTATATGTCTCAACAGAGGACCCAACTGTCGTTTTACTCCTATCTTTCCAAGGATGACTGTGAAGTGGGCAGTTTTGAATATGCAGTGGCTTCCTTGAGAGCTCAGGACTCTGCTTCCTGCCCAGTATGGTGAATACTTTGCCTCCCTCTGCAGGACAGATCAGGAAGGCTCGCTTGCTGCCTGTTCTGAGAGACTCCAATTTGCTGAGATGAGGCCACTCTGCAGGGACGCTATGTGAGCTGCTGCACAGCAGCTTGTACCTGGGTCTCTCTCAGCATCACTGTTGTAGGACTTGGAAGGTGAGGGGGAGCTGAACCAAATGTAAAGCTTATGCAGCTGTTAAGATACGATAAAGTTTTTGTCTCTGATCCAGGAGTCTTAGGTTTTCTGCAAGCATCCACAAAACAGTGCGGGCCAACTTGCAAATGAGTAAATTCTCACATACCTTACAATTATTATCATATAGATTTTTAAGTCAATATCTGTTAAATAGGGAAACATCTAACTCTGTTCATAGTCTAGATTCCTATGGATTTTAAAAGATCCCATTATAAATTAAGGAGACTGCTCTATTACATATGAAACTAATATACCTTTTGTTAATTTTTTCTTTTGACTTTGATTATAATTTAGGGGGAGAATGAAGGCAGGCAACAAAATTATAATTCGTAAGTAGTAATTTACTCAATTTTCCTTGAAAGCTTCTGGATTTTGCTTAAAGAGGTATTTATTTATGTCTATATGTCCCATTCTAAGACAGTACAATGTTTCCAAGTTTTTTCTATACTTTCTTTTCTACACTTTTCATTTTTCTCTTTAAGATTTAATTTTTGCATTTGAAATTGGTTTTGGAGCAATGAATAAGAAACACATTTATGTTTATCTTCTCCCTCAGATGGCCGGTGAATTTTCCTATTGCCATTTGTTAATAATCCTTTAACCCAACTAACTTGAAATACTAGTGTTTAGTAACACATTTACTAAATTTCCAGAGTATTTGAATCTATTTTTGGACTTCATATTCCGGTCAATTCACTGTCAGAAACTACAGTTTGATAACTCACTTCAATATCTTGATATCCTCTTTATATAAACTTTTATTTATTTATTTTTTCATTGAGTTTATTGGTACCTTTTAGGTATACAGTACAGTTACATTCATCATTGGGATCTTGTACTTTTACATGACAGGTCTTGGTTCTCATTTTTCCCCTTGTCCCTGTCCTCCCTTCACCCAACTTTTAATGACTTGTCTGGTTCCCTTACAAGAATGCAACAGTATTTTTGTTGTGACCCACTGGAGTTTTCCTGTTTCTGATTCCTGTATGTATGTAAGACAACTCTTTGATGCCATGCATGTAGGTGGAGGTATATGATCAGTCTGACCTACAGCCAAATGTCCTGGGATATGTCCAGGCCCAAACACTTCACTGCTGGACTGTGACTCCTTCCTTCCTTTTCCTGCCACAGCCTCTGAAGATGGTGCTTCTTCCAAAGAACGGAGCTCCAAGATGGCAGAGCCTCAGAGAGTCTGGTCCCTGAGCAGCTATGTGGACAGGGCCTTCTACCACCCCACAAGAGAAATGTAGCAGTATTGGAAAAGAAACTTTTATTGTGTTAGCCATAGGGATTTTAGGGTTAACTTGTAAATGTGGCACACTTAGGTTGTTCTGACTACTATAATCATTACATTTATCAACCAGCTGAAGGAACAGCCATGTTTATACTACCACGACTGTCTACTAATAATAGGGAATTTGCTGTAATTAGATAAGCTTTATAAACATCCAGGTTGTAAAGGTTTCTTCATATATTTTTTTGTTCAGTTTATTTCTAATTTTATATATTTCTAATGCAATCACAAATATAAACTTTCATTATATTTTATCTCTCCTCTTACATTAGAAATAGTTTTTTAAAAAAAGTTGTATGAAAATACATGTCCCCTCTAAAATTTCTTTTGGAACAATACGTAAAAATATAAAGAAAATAAAAATCACATGAAATTTCACTGCCATACATTATCATTGTTAATGGTTCAGTGATCACTTCATATATTTCACAGAAACACATGCATGTGTACACATATACATACGTTTTTTTAACTTGAAATCTGTACATAAGACATCTACTTTTTCTACATTTGCATTGTAATACGACCTTATTGAATTTTTATTGTTTTCTAATAGCTTTTCTTCTTTTCTTTTTTGGTACTGGGGATTGAACTCGGGTCCTTGCACTTGCAAGGCAGGCCACCGAAGCGCTAAGCTAAATCCCCGGCCCTCTGATAGTTTTTCAATTGGATTCTCATGGGTTCTGTAGGCATATAATTATTTATATCATATGCAAACAAAGAAAAGTGTACCTCCTTTCAAATTAGTCTTTTTAGAAGTCTTATTCATTTGCATGGCTAAAGTTTCCAGAACAATATTCAATAGTAATGGTGACAGTGGATTCTTGTCTTATTCTTGATGCTAGTGGAAATGTAAATTTACAGGTCTTATACTGATTCTTCTTAGGCAGTAGTTCATTCGCAGAAAAATAGTATGTGAAAAATGTTTCCCCATTTTCATACTTCCATAATATCGAGCAGTACATTATTGGTTAATTTAGATGTTACTTTAATTATATAAAGTGTCTTAATTTCATCTTTATCACATGCATAAGTAAAAGGCACACTAACCTCTCCTGCTGACAACTTCTCTCTCACATTTTTCCAATAAATGTCTTTATTTTCAGTGTTAGTGAAAAAAAGTAGCCACTCTGCAAAGTCTTCTTTTCTCATGAAATTCAAACCTTTGGAAAACTGAATGAATTCCATTTCTTGAACTTCTGTTTGTAAATTTTCCATAAATCTAAATATTAAAATAAAAAAATGACAACAGTGACATTCCACCTTAACGTTGTAATGGGACTGCAAGGCATTTTCACTATTACCAGTACCTATTCAGTGGCTGGTCTCTGGATATGGTAAACAAAGGGTTGTGGGGAGAGAGGATATAGGAATGAAGTCCAATGCCTGCTTTAATCTGATTTCTTATGCTTAAGGTTGTCTGTGCAAATTATACTCAGCAACCTGCATTTTGATAAACACTTAAAATATGTAAAATGTTGCCTTGATACATCCATATAAAATAAAATTTCACAGAAAACATTTCTTTAAATATAGAACATCATTTCTATTTTTGGGGGGGATCAAACCAGGGATCGAACTTAGGACCTTGCGCTTATGAGGCAGGTGGCAGCACCAGTGAGCTAAATCCCAACCCCCACAGAAACATTATTAATAATCAGAAAATTTTAAAATTTAGGTGGGACTCTATTTGTAGAATGTTAATCATAATTAATAGCTCCAAGTAGATTTCAGATACCAAAGCTGATCAATGGCTTTGCATCAAAAGCTTAGATCTGGCTAAAATATTTATATTCTTTTGGATAACAGCACATGTCTGTGTGACTCAACCTTCCTTTCTTACAAAAACAACATGGCACTTTGATCTTTGATCAAACTGTCATCAATAGCTTCCTGAGAAAGGTACACTTTGAAAGGGTGTCAGATTAAACATTATTTTCTTTGAACAAGAACCTAGAACTATTGCACTTGATTTTTTTATGACCTAAATCAGGTGTAAAGTATTATGATTTCTGCAAGTTTTAATATGTTGCAGACCCCTTTATTCACTCTTCCACATGTTAAAGGATCTGTGCTATCTCTCATATACATACAACTTATGTATGTATATGAAATGACAAAAGAGGCATAGTCCAATCAGTAGAAGAAATATTGCCAATGCTAAAAATGTATTTGCTTTAGGTTCTACACTGTATAATTCTTAAAAATGTGAAGGAAGAGTTTGATTTTAGGTGCCTATGTGGTAAGTTTGTTATCCACATATTTTCTGAATGTGTTATATATATAGGGTTTTCAATGTCATGTTTCTTTCTGGGTCAAAATAGAATTTTATCTAAAGCTTGAAGTATTTCAAGTTTGGACTGATAGATCAGTAAGATATTTTACTGATGTACTTTGCCTTTTGTTTCTCTGGGTATTATATGGAATAGTGTAATGACATTCAATTGATTTATATTAGTATTGTTAACAGGATGGTTTTCGTACAATGAGTATACAATGAATTATGAAAGTAGAAAATCCATTATAAAAACCCAGTTAAGTTGTTCTTTCATCTTTTTTTTCCTTCGGTGATAGGAACAGCGTGGTCATGGGATTTGGTAAGTTGACAGACGAAATCAAGACATGAGTTGAGGAGTCCTGCTAGAGGCTGCTGTGTTATCAGAGCAGAGGAGATTATGGTGGCAGCAGTAGGGATGGAGAGAAGTAGTGAAATCCAAACGATGCTTTAGGAGAAGAAAATTAATAGTATTTGGTAACAGACTGGATAAAGTGAATGAGAGTGAGAGATGGGAATCAAAGACAATGTTTTGAGTGGAGCTGATGAATGGTATGATACTTACAGGTCTAATTATAAAAGGGAAGAGATCTGTCTCTCCTTATTAAGGACAGGTGAGATAATATATGTAAAAGACTGAGAAAAACGCCAGGCCCATCTTAAGTACTTGACCGTGCAGTAGCTGCTATTGTGCTAAGGATGTTGTGTAACTAACTCCTTTTCATTTTCATCCTATTTAAGTACAGACTCCGCCCAGCGTCAGCCACATTCTTGCTCACATCCTCAGCTCCCCTGGGATGCTGATAGACTTCAAGTGTGACTTGAAGAAAACCATGTAACTATTATGTGCACATGTTAGTATCTGCATAAATTCATGGTTAATACCTCAACCGGGTCCTCTCTAGGTCATCTACCTCCAAATTTCAACAGAGGGCAACTTTCAACAGAGGGCATCCTAAATGGGTGGCTTTCTGTGCCATTAAACTATACTTTAATCTATGAAAGCACTGATTACAGTGACTTCTGCAATGTTTACTACACAGTCCCCAGAAGGGACTATCCCTAGTATTTGAGACAGGGCCTGACAGAACATGGTGCGCTCAAGAAGTCTTTATCAAACTGCATTGAGCTGAACAAGGTACAGGTCTCCTGCCTTGCACAGTAGTGTTTTCTGCCATTCTGTACTGCTCTGTGGTCTCTGTTCTGAAACTGCTGAGTGGAGTGGCCCAGGAAGGGATACTCTTGTTTTGAGTGGAGTTATTCTCATTGTAAAGAAGATAAACAGGAGACATCTAATGTAAGTACTATTATTCTCATTTTACTGATATAGAGATGTGCTCAGGAAAGTTAGATAAGTTGCTTAAAATTAATGTTAATGCTGAAATGGAACATGGACGTATTTGCATATTAACGCACTGCTTATGGAAACTTTCACACTACAGTAGTAGAGCAGTGTGGTTCTGACAAAGACCATGTTTACTATTCAGTCCTTTGCAGAAAAGGGCCGCCACACTTTGTGCTATACATGGAGCAGAGCTGAGCTATCTCAGCTGAGACCATCCTACAAGAGCTACCTTCTAGCTACTGCAATGCCTCAGTCCAGTCAAGAACAACCAGTCCTGGACCTCTCAAGAGAATCATACCCAAATGACCAAAAGACTTGAGGACAGGCCAGATGGCCCTTGTTGGGATGGTCTGTTTTGCATTAAGAACAAACTGACATTAGGGGCAGTTCTCTTAGTTGCAAACATTATGTTACTAAAAAGAATTACTGAATTCTATAAGACAGACATTTACTTTCATAATAGGTCAGAATTTTTAGAGCATAATAACTTTAGTTTATATTTTATAGGTTATAGTTTATATTTTATATTTGTCTCAGAGACAAATATATATATATCCACAAATAATTTTTAGTTTTATCGTCTAGTATTGTCTACTGTTCTGGGAAGTGAATATATTCTATTTCTTTCTTTCTTTTATTTTGAGACAGAATACTGCTCTGTAGCCCAGGCTGGCCTTGAACTCATGGCAATCCTCCTGACTCAGGCTTCCAAGTGCTGTGACTACTGATGTGTGCCGTATCCAGCTTCAATTCTTACCTTTGAAATTCCCTGTTAAATATAAGCATCAAATTTACCTTCGAAATTCTTTATAATGAAGTTTCCTTTCTCCTCTTTTCCCAAAGAAATGCATCTGAAGGGTTGTGCTAATTTCAGATTCTTTCATTGTTTGATCCTATGAAAATTACATATAATTTCAAGATTATTAAAAATTTCAAGTAATAATTCAGAAAGACAAAAACTGAACCTGTAGACTCAAATTTTTGGGATAATACCCAGAAATTACTGTTGCAAAAAAAAAAAAAGAAAAAGAAATTACGGTTGCAGGAGGAACAAAAACGGTGAAAAAGAGGGGGAGACAATCATTCTGTCTGTAACTTTACATAGCATTTTTCTATAATCATTTTTGCTCAAGCAAGAGGGCTAGAAATATTCACACCACAGAAACTATTCGGTATTTACTCAAGTGTTTCCTAATTATTTCACTTAAGAGTATAGCCTCAATGTGCATCCATTTAACTATATGTCTCTAGTTTCTCATTCTTTATGGCTGAGTAGTGCTCTATTTTATAGAAAAACATTCATCCATTCTCCAGTTGATGGGCATTTGGGTTGTTTCCAAGTTTTAGCTATTAAACTGTGCCTTATGTCTCTAGTTTCTCATTCTTTATGGCTGAGTAGTGCTCTATTTTATAGAAAAACATTCATCCATTCTCCAGTTGATGGGCATTTGGGTTGTTTCCAAGTTTTAGCTATTACAAACTGTGCCATTATAAACATGGGTGCACATATATTTTGGAAAGATACCCAGCAGGGGAATAGATGGATCAAATGGGACCTCTAGTTCTAGTTTTTTGAGGTATCTCCGTATTGATTTCCACAGTGGTGGAACCAGTCTGTACTCCCACCAACAAAGGAGAAGGGTTCCTTTCTCCCCACAGCCCCACCAGCATTTGTTATTGGTTGATTTCTGGATAGCAGCGATTCTTTCTGGGGGAAGGTGGAATCTCAGTGTTGTTTGCATCTGTATCTCACAAATGACCAGTGATTTTGAATATTTTTTCATATATTTATTTGCTGCTTTTACTGCTTCGTCTGAGAAATGTCTGTTCATTTCAGATGCCCGTTTTTGTATTGGGGGGAGTCCTGATTTTTTTGAGTTATTTATATATTCTAGATAGTAGACCTTTGTCTGAGGAATAGGTGGTAAAATTTTTTTCCCCACATTGTAAGTTGTCTCTTAGCTGTTGGTGATTTCTCTCACACTGCAAAAACTTTTTAATACAATGAGATCAGATCCCAGTTGTTGACTCTTTGTGTAAGTTCTCATGTTGCTGAAGATTTGTTCATAAAGTCTTCTCCTATGCCAATGTCTTTGAGAGTTCCACCTAATTTACTTTCCCATAAGTTTAGTGTTTCTGTTTTGATATTTAGTTCTTTAATCCGCTTGGATTTTAGTTTAGTGCATGGTGAAAGACAGGGATCTAGTTTTAATCTTTGTCAAGTTGAAATCCAGTTTTTCCAACACCATTCATTAAAGAGGCTATCTTTCCTCCACTGAGGATGGTTGGCTCCTTTGTCAAAGATGAGGTAGCTGAGTATGTCTGGTGTTGTTTCTGCATCTTCCAATCTATTCCACTGATCCTCGGGTCTGTTTCTTTGTCAGTACCATGCTGTTTTTATCACAGTGGCTTTGTAGTATAGTTTTAAATTGGGAATTGCGATACCCCCTGCCATGTCTCTGTTGCCCAAAATGGTTTTTGCTATTCTAGGCCTCTTCTGGTTCCAAATGAATTTTTGGATTGTTTTCTTAAGTTCTGTGAAATATACTGTTGGGATTTTAATCAGGATTGCATTGAATAGGGGATTGCAGAGAAGTTTTGGAAGTATGACCATTTTCACTTGCACTCTACTTTTTATGCATCTTTTCTAGCTTACAAATAAACTTTTTCAGGGAAGGAAGCTTGCAACTTTAGCAAACTGCTCACTATACAGGGCCTTAAAAATATATAATTGCTTATTAACATTCACATATCACAGCATGTTTACCTACCCTCCATTTACCTCCAATTCTGCCATGTTTGGCTTTGCTCCTGACCTCTCCTTTCACCATTGTTGAAACTGGCATTTGAATTAGGATTATTTATGTGGCTCTGATCAGTGTCATAGGACCCAGTGTTCTCTAGACACTACCTATTGAAACAGGGACTGCCTAGAATGCAGACATGAACAAGATCACAGCTAACTTCCTTTGGGCCCTTGCAGCAGTGCTGATGCCCATCTCCACTACTACAGGATCTACAGTCCCTACTCCTCACACAGATGCTGTACTTTGTGACTTTGTTTCCTCTTCTGTTCAAAGTTATGACTCTTTGACTCAGCTTTTATGTATTTAATTAAACTAGGGTTATGTGTCTGAGGTTTGTTGCCTAACAAAATTGTATCCACTAAATAATTTGCTGAAAAGTATCAAACTTGAAGATGGTCAAACATCATTTTGTCTCAAAATATTAGATAGTATTTACAGATGGGATATTTAATTAGCTGACCATTCTGTGTATTGCAAAAGTCTGAAATAACACTATACAGGAATGCAACTAATTCTCCAAAGTTATCTACGCATTCTAGACGAATATTATGCTGCTAAATTTCCCCCTGGAGGATGGCTTCTAAATTTTGATATGCACCATATGCCAAAGTACAAGTGCCAGAACATATTTTTTTCTAATTAGATTAAATATTGCTTTCAGTATAAAAATAAAATTGCAAGGGCCGGGGATTTAGCTCAGCGGTTTGGTGGCCTGCCTTGCAAGCGCAAAGACCCAAGTTCAATCCCCGGTACCAAAAAAAAAAAAAAAAAAAAAAAAAAAAATAAAATTGCAGTTTAGCTCAGTATTTGTTTTTTAATACTGTAGATGTTGATCATGAGCGTTATTTTAACATTTCAAATATTCTTTATTCCTAGCAGACAGGTATACCCAAGTTTTCATTTGTTTGAAGAGGTTTCTCATTCATGCATGTATGTGATTTTTATTATGTATACAAACAAAAATGTATTCATTGGCATTAAATTTAACTCAAACAGTAATTTTCTAAAAAACTTTCTATTTGTTTGTTTGCTTGTACTGAGGACTGACCTAGGGTCTTTGCACTGAGCTACATATCCCCAGCCCTTTTTCTTAATTTCTTATTTTGAGACAAGGTCTCACTAAGTTCTTAAGTTGTCCAGGCTGGACTCAAAACTTGTGATTCATCTGCCTCAGCTTCCCAGAGTGCTGGGGTTATATGATTTTGCCACCACTCTTGGCTTTAAACCGGGAGGGGAAGTAAATAAAATTGGTATGTGTTATATACATGTACCAGCTCCCCAGGATGAATGTACTCATGTAGTACAAACATATACTAATAAAAACTTAAAAATAGAAGAAATAAGACCTTTAACATAGATGTCCTTAAAAAAAGACTAAAGTATCAATAATCACAAAAATAAAAATGATTGTTTATTGAGATTTGCTGTTATCCAGAACTTTGTATTCACTACATTACTAAATACTCACAATAAATCTATGGGACAAGTTTAAAAAAAAAACCCAAAACACATCATGTATTCAAATGCTTCCCTGCTGCGTTGTCTAAACCATGTTATCACTTTATTGTCTGCTTTACTCTTTAGGAGAACAAGTCTTTAAAATGGAGGGTTCTAATCAATAAGTTGTGTTTACTATTTTTATATTCCTGATAGAAATCAGTTATCCTTACAGAGTTTCTTTCTTTCTTTCTTTTTTTTTTTTTTTGGTATGGGGGATTGAACTTGGGTCATTATGCTTGTGGGGCAGGCAGTGGAACCACTGAGCTAAACCCCCACCCACCCTTTACAGAGTTTCAAAGGCTACCTTAACATTTATTTTGCTTTTGGCTAGACCATTCCAATTCAATGTGATAATGTGGGCTTCTCAAGTAGACTGAACATTTAAATTTGTGATTCTATGTCACTGATTAATAAATACAGGGAAATAAGTGATTAATGGATCAAAAACATCCTGTGGGAACATAAGAAATCACTTTTGAAAAGGTTGGTAATTACTACTATAATGGGAAGAGGTCAAGGTAAACTAACAAAGTGTCTACAAATATCTCCTGATATTCAATCTCAAAATCAGTAATTATGAATGCAGGACAATAATTACGTGAGTAAAATTTCACACAAATGGTCCCCAACTTAAAATATTTTGAAGTTCTCTCATAAACTTTAACAAATTTGGATTTGATTCCTAATTTAAACAGTTTCTAAGAGATTTTGATAGTATTGCTGTTATGAGCTACCTTTTTTTTTTTTTTTTTTTTTTTTTTTTTTTTTTTTTTTTGAGCCAGGGTCTTGCTATGTAGTTCAGGTTGGACTTGAACTTGTGGCAAACTTTCTACCTTGGCTTCCGGAGTACTGTGATTATAGACATGCGCCACCATGCTCAGTATTGAGCTATGTCTTTTATTCACCACTGAAAAAAAAAAAAAAAAAAGGCAGGCAAGGGGCTGAGGTGTGCCAGTGGTACAGTATATGCGTAGCATGCACAATACCCAGCACCACAAAAAATATCCTGTGCAAATGAAATACTAACATATCTATTTAGAAAACTGCTACTTTTCTTTTTAAAGTGGAGCAATTTTTCTACAATGAATATACTTAATTATTGGTAGCCTACCATAGAATCATTATGTCTTGATATATACACATATAATCATATTTTTTCAGTGTAGCAAAGAATATTATTTCTCCATTTGTCACAGAAAAGAGTGACTACAGCTAAATCAGTCCATGTTGCTTGGTGAAAGGGAAGGGAAATCCTGCAAGGGGACATATGAATGAGCCAATGCTGCTGGCCACAGTACCATGAATTGATTTCCTACTGATAGATCTGTGGTTGTTTCCCATTTTTTTAAAATTGTTTTGTTTTATACCGGGGATCAAACTCGTGACCTTGTACTTGCAAGGCAGGCAGCAGAACCACTGAGCTGAATACTCAGCCTCATGTGTTTTTTATTATAGGCACTGTTGTGAGAGACAGTGTTATATGTTTATTTTTGTTGTAATTATATATTTCTCCAAGTTAGAGTGTTACGTCAAACAGTAGCTGAATCTAGATTATTAGGTATCTGCGGTTTACTTGCCCATCCACC